TCAAAAGTTAACAACACTAATTTCATCTCTCAAGCGAAGAAATTGGTCTGTTTTTATCGTCTTTATTAGAACATCTGTCAGCTGCTTCAGAGTGCTACAGTGCAGAACTTCTAACACTCCTTTCTGCACTTGACTTCTGAGAAAGTGATAATTCGTCTCAATGTGCTTGCTTCTTCCATGTAGCACTGAATTCTTTGCAAGATTAATTGCAGACTTATTATCAATCATCAGCTTCAGAGGTTCTTCAACTTCAACCTTCAGATCATGCAGCAGATTCAGAAGCCAAACTGCTTGACAAGCAGCTACAGCACCTACAATGTATTCAGCTTCACATGTTGACAAAGTCACAACAGACTGTTTCTTGGAACTCCAAGAAATTAGACCTCCCAGAAACTTGAACAAGTACCCAGAAGTACTTCTTCTGTCAACTCTATCTCCACACCAATCAGAATCAGAATAACTCAAAAGTTCTGATTTGATCTTTCCTCCAGAAGGAAATAACACTCCATATTTCAGAGTTCCTTTTACATACCTCAGAATCCTGACAGCAGCTTGGTAATGAGACCACTTTGATTTGCTCATGTATCTGCTAACCATTCCAACTGCATAGTAAATATCAGGTCTGGTATTACACAAATACCTCAGAGAACCAATCATCTGTTTGAAGGTTATAACATCCACATCCTCTCCATCAGAATCGGAGTCCAACTTCTGATTCGTATCAGCAGGTGTGATAGCAACCTTGCAATTTGCTAGCTCAAATCTCTTCAGAAGCTCTAGTTCATACTTCTTCTGATGTAAGATGATTCCTTTCTCAGAGTATATAAATTCCATTCCTAGAAAGAAACTCATTTTTTCAAGATTTGTCATCTCAAACGCATTCATCAGAACTTTCTTGAACTCAACTGGTTCTTGTTCAGAAATTCCTGTGAGTAATATGTCATCAACATACAAACAGACCAGAATCATATTACCTTCTGAAGTGTGCTGAACATAAACACCATACTCCATCTCACACTTCTGAAACCCTTGTTCCTTGAAAAACGAATCAATCTTTAAATTCCAAGCTCTGGGCGCTTGCTTCAGTCCATACAGAGCTTTATTTAACCTGTATACCATCCCTTCCTGATTCTTTTTCACAAATCCAGGAGGTTGTGACACATAAACTTCTTCATGTAATGGACCATTCAGAAATGCAGACTTCACATCCAGATGTATCAAAGACCAATTTTTGTTTGCAGCTAAAGCGATCACCAGTCTGATTGTTTCGTGTCTAGCTACAGGCGCAAACACCTCAAAGTAATCTAGTCCAGGTTTCTGAAGAAAATCTCTGGCCACTAGTCTCGCTTTGTGTTTGCCAATTGATCCATCTGGCTTAAGCTTCTGCTTGAAAACCCATCTGACGCTGATGACTTTCTTGCCTTTTGGAAGTTCTGTCAGCTTCTAAGTCTTGTTTCTTTCAATAGCCTCAAGTTCTTCTTTCATGGCATTCAGCCATACTTTCTTCTTGAGAGCTTCTTCAATACCCACTGGTTCAGAATCTACTAGCATGGCACACTGAACGATTTCTCCTTCAGAATCTACTTCAGTATCATGCAACATGCTAAAATCTGCAAACCTACTTGGTATTCGTCTGATTCTTTGTGGCCTCTGATCTTGTTCTGAAGCTTCTCCAGAACTCGGAACAATGCTAGTTTCTGGACTTTGTCTAGAATTATTTCCTTCAGAATTACCACCTTCAGAGTTACTTCTGAAAACTTGTTCTCCAGACCCCATGTCTTCAGAGTTTTCCCTTCCAGAAGTATAATCACCACCAGATTCTGGATCACCATCAGAATCTGGATCAGATCCACTATCAGAATCTCCCTGAGATTCTGACTCATCTTCTGACTCTGACTCGTCTTCAGAACTTTCTGAAGGGTCTTCAGAAACTAACCCTGGTGTTGGAGCTACACCAGAATCTGATTGAAGCTTGTTCCAATCCCATGTTTCTGACTCTTTCACAATGACGTCTCTGCTGATTTCAACTTTATTGGTTTCTGGACAATAAAGCTTATAGGCACCTGTACTGTGGTACCCAACCAGTAACATTGTTTTGCTTCTATCATCCAGTTTTCGTCTTCTAGCCTCTGGAACGTGTTTGTAGCATACATAACCAAACACCTTCAGATGGCCAACACTTTGCTTGTCTCTAGTCCATTTTTCTAAAGGAACAATTTCCTTCAGCTTCTTTGTTGTACACCTATTCAGAACATATTCTGATGTGGCAACAGCTTCTCCCCATAACATGTGAGATAACTTCTTCTCTTTCAGCATACTTCTGGTCATATCAAGCAAAGTTCTGTTTCTTCTTTCAGCAAGACCGTTGTGCTGAAGAGTATATGGAGCAGTAACCTCATGTTCTATTCCATTCTCCTCACAGAACTTCTGGAACTCTACCTCATGTTCTATTCCATTCTCCTCACAGAACTTTTGGAACTCTGTAGAGTTATACTCACCTCCACCATTTGTTCTCAGAATCTTCAGCTTCTGACCACTCTGCTTCTCAGTCTTCACCTTGAACTTCTGGAACTCAGTAAACACTTCATGCTTGAATTTGATGAGTGTTACCCATGTCATTCTTGTGAACTCATCCACAAAAGACACAAAATATTTGTTTCCTCCAAGTGAAGGTACTGGAAATGGTCCACACACATCAGAATGTACTACTCCCAGAGCATGATTTGCTCTGGGGGCTACTTCTGATGCAAATGACAATCTGGGTTGCTTGCCTTTCATGCATATCTCACATGACTTCTGAGGCTTCACAATCTTCGAAATGCCATGTACGAGCTTCTTAGAACTTAGATGCCCTAAGCTTATATAGTTCAAGTGCCCCAACCTCTTGTGCCACAGCTTACTGTCAGCTTCAGCGCCTTCTGCACTAAGACACTCCGCTTCAGAAGTTTCTACATTCACCTTGAATGTTCTATTGCTTCCCTGCTTAGACTTCATAATCAACTTCTGATTAGAATCATACAACGTCAAGAGGTTGTCCTTCATAACCACTGAAAAACCTTTTTCAATAAGCTGACCCACACTCATCAGATTGCTTTTAATTCCAGGAACATACCAAACATCTTTGATCAGAATGTTTTTTCTATTCTTCACTCTGACTCTGACATTTCCCATACCTTCTGCATTAAGGTACTTATCATCAGCACATCTGTTGTTCTCCTTCTGGAGTCAAAGTCTATCAGCCATTGTTTGTTCCCAGTCAAGTGGTTTGAACAGCCAGTGTCCATATACCACCAATCTTCTGAATAGTTTCCATCAGAATCAGAAGCCATCAGTAGCACAGGTTCATCATCAGAATCTTCTCTGGCTATATTTGCTTCTTCTGATTTCCTTCCTCTGTTTCTACAGTCTCTGGCAAAATGGCCAAACTGTTTACAGCAGTAACATTGAACTTTCTTCTTGTCATACCTTTCATTTCCCTTCTGATATTTTTTTTCATCAGAAGTTGAGGTTTCTGACTTCTGAAATTTATCACCATGTCCATTCTGCTTCTGGTCCTTCTTGACAAAAGAAGCTTTCAGAGCTTGCTCCACTTTCCTCTCAGAAGTTCTTTCAGTCAGACGCAACTCTTGCGCTTCTAGACTGCTTTGCAACTCTTCTACTCTCATGGTTTCCAGATTTTTAGAATGTTCAATTGAAACAACAATGTAATCAAACTGAGGAGTAAGTGACCTCAGAATCTTTTCTATGATTACCTGTTCAGAAAGTGTTTCTCCACAAGCCTTCATCTCATTGGTGATTAGAATCATTCTGGAGATGTACTCCGAAACTTTCTCACTGTTCTTCATGCTGAGATTTTTATATTGTTTTCGCAGGGACTGAAGCTTTACCTTCTTTACTGACACGTCACCACCATAACATCTGGTCAGTATATCCCATGCCCCTTTCGACGTCGTCGAATCAACAATCTTCTCAAACACATTTTCATCCACACACTGATGAATAAAGAACAGAGCTTTCTGATCCCTCTTCCTCATAGCTCTTTCTTCTGATTTTTGTTCTTCAGTAGCATCTGCTGCAACTGGAACATAACCTTCAGAAACAAAGTCCAGAACATCCTGAGCACCAAACAGCACACGCATTTGTATCTTCCATCTGTTTCAGTTTTTGCCATCAAAAATTAGAAGTTTAGTGTTCAAACTACTGCCTCCATTCATCTTAAACCTTGCACAAAAAACTCAGATCTCAAATTTCTCACTCAGTGTTTCCCAAACCCACAGAATCAGTGTGATTCTGTTTCAGATTTTTGTTCAAGATTCAAAAATCAAACACACAGCTCACTTCACTCGTGTTTCCCAAAATTTCAGAATAAACCAAGAGCTCTAAATACCAATTTGTTAATGCAAGGTGATGAAATTGAGGAAGAAGAGAGAAAAGGAATAAATGCTAAAAGTTGCTACTAATGATTGAAGGAAATTGTTCTTATTAAATGTAAACCTAGTACACCTATTTATACACAAAAATAGTAAAGATAAGAATGCCACATAGGGCCCAATGAGAATATCCTACAAATGACAAATACTAAATTACCCTCTAATAGTCAATACACTACCTTTAACCTCAAATTAAAAAATAAAATGTCGCCTCTAATTTTAAATGCATTCCCTCTCAATAGAGGGTAGACTTAATTATCAAAAGGCATTCAGTGTAGCAAGATAAATTAATTCATAAATGAAAACGTTGAAAGCACAAGATGTACAAGAATATTTGATCAAAGCATCCACCGTCTGCAAGTCAAAATTACATCAAGTATGACAGTGGAGGCCATTAAACGCCTCAATCCAACATCCGAAAACTGTATAAATAAAGTTTCATGTATGATCCAGAACGATAATCATTTAGGGCACAACACACCAAAACTCATTTCTAGCACTTTTCTGGAGAGTTAAGAGTTGAAACGAAATAGAAGCAATGAAGCAGCAATTCATATGCACAAACTTGGATTATGACTTGTCACTCTTGGAACGTCCTTCAAGCAACTGACCTACATCATGTCGCAACATCTCCAAATATTCCTGTACAGCAAAGAAAAATATATTTTATGTGATTATGCACAATCCGTAAAACAATGTGATAAGAGTAGTTTGCAAATCAGCATATCAAACATTAAATCATATAAATGAATACTCATTGGCCTATTGAAAAATATATATACTTACACTGGCAAGACTTTCATTGCAACACAACTCATCCAGAAGGTCATTGGAAGCACTTCCACTGCCAGACTGCTGAACGGCATTTTCAGCTACAGCACGGAAGATGTCTGCAGGTGGACTCAGACGATTGATCGTCTCTACCACTGGTTGAAGGTCAAGCTGGAGAAAGAAGGAAACAGTCATAACAGAACACAACTATAGCAGCAGTTTATGCTAACTGACAAGTTACAAATAAAGCCAGATCTTAGTAATGCTCTTCATAGTCCAAAATATTTTTGAATCACCTAATGGTAAAGAAAAGTTAAGCAACACAGAGGGGTTAATTTACATGCCAGTCAACTGTATAAACAGAGCTGTAAGTTTACTCATGGTTACACAGACTGGCTCAGCCGCCACAGCCATTTTGACAGTTTTATCCATTGAAACCATATAGTTACGCTTCAACTAGCCACAAAACTCAACAATCTACATATAAAACCAACTTGAGAACACTATCCACAGCATTTATGTTTGGTGGTTTTGTCAAATAAAAAATGTAAAATAAGCAAAAGACATGCTTAAAACATAGAACAGCTATAGCAAGGCAGGAGAACTTTTAAATGAAGATGTCAAGGGGGAGAATTAGAATTCAGCCTTGCTTGAATGATTTACTTGAATGTTTGGTTTTACTTCAGAGACAACCTCTCGGCCTCTACTACTTGTATTCAAATTCAGATTACAAGCAAACCCTAAATCATTCAATTTTAGGAATCGATATATTTATTTACCGAAGGTGCATATTCTGTAATAGGCATAACATATCAAGATAATATCAAGCAATTTCACTATAAGGTATATAGGCATAACATATCATGTAAATAGGGAAAGTATCTCCTATACTTATTTTTGTAAGTATTGCTTTCAGCCTATATAAAGTCGACTCAGTTGTGTAGTTTGAAGTTCGAACACATGGTCTCATCATATGTCACTGATTTTCTTTTTATTTCAACCCCTGTCATGTTGCTTGCAGGCAAAAAATACTTTTTGATGGTGTTGGAAAAAATGAAGGAGACTGGGCTTTGAACTTCCATTCTTCCAGGCAAGTAAGCCCCCCACTATATTATTACTAAACTAGTAAGAACAGAAAATGCTTCATACAAAAATAGAGAATGAAACCAGTACAGCACCATGTCAGACAGATAGAGAATGAAACCAGTACAGCACCATGTCAGACAGATAGAGAATGAAACCAGTACAGCACCAGAATGGGATATATAAATAACATGCAAGCACAATACACATAAATAAATAGTTATTAGAGTCCCCCATTGAAAAGGATATGGTCTCAATATATGTTTATAAGTGGAGACAATCTTCACTTTACAAATCGATTTTGTAAGGTTAAGTTAGACTCAACTACAATTCAAAGATGGTATCAAAGTCTATCCAAGATTTGTTGGACCACCTGTTATCAGATTTCCGTTATCGCCCACCATTTATTTATTATATCCACGATCAATAGTGTTGGGCGTGAGAGGGTATGTTAAAGAGTCCCAAATTAAAAGGATATAGTTTCAATATAAGCTTATAAGTGGGGGCAATCCTCACCTTACAAGTCAGTTTTGTAAGGTTGAGTTAGACCCAAGTACAAACAAGAAATTTGGTTGATCTTAATAGCACACATAAATAAATAAAACATGCAAGCACAGTACTAAACTACGCCTTTCTGTTAACACATGTATACAAACCTGTAAGTTTTGATTATCAGAATTTTCATTCCTGTAGGGAACAAGGGTTTCTGGTTCTGCAGCAGAGAATGGTGATGGAGGATTTCCCCCTCCAAGGGCTTGTGATACAATGGGCATCATCTGTTGAAACATCCTTGAGAAGTCGATGCCACCACCCTGCCCTCTTCCCATTCCAGATAACATATTTCCCATACCCTGACTGTCAACCTGCTGGGCAATCTGATTGACTGTGTTCATCATCTGTGGGCTTTGTGTGAACTGTTGCAACATGTTCCTTAAGCCATCAGGTGAGTCAACTCCTGTTTGATGTGAAAACCCTTCCAACAAACCATTCAAAGCAGGACTATGTAGAACCTGAGACATTAAACCTGCCACATCAACCTGACTACCACCGGGTGGCATGGGTCGCTGAGATGATGGCCTATCCCCATTTATCAAATTAACAGCTGATCCTTGGCCCGCAGGTGTTTGCAATAGATTTTGACTATCTGTCCTTGTTTCCTGACTTTGGTTGATGGAAGAACTGGAGGATCCATCACCGGCACCTTTACCAACAGGAGGTTGAAGTCTAGTCCGTCTCTGTTTTGGAACACACATTTTCGAAGGATGAGTCAAAATGTGGTTATGAAAATTTGAAAACAAGAGAAGAAGTTTCAAAACATGTTCACTAAGGCTCTGCTAATGAACAAATGTGTCAAATTTACAATTATATATTGTTAATGTGATAAAGTATGAAGGGTTTGAGCGAACTACTGCAGAGGGTATGTAGTGGCATAGCATGCCGCAGCAATTAGGAAATTCAAGTTTCTCATTCACAAAAACAGAAATATTAAGATTACCTTACGCTCCAAACCACTCATACCCAATCCAAGAGGAGCAGTTTTGGCAGGTTCAGTTACATCCCGTCTTTCACTTGCAGATGGAGCATCCTGTACTTTTTCTGATTTTACCATGGTTTCTCCACTAGAAGAAGTTTGTAAATCTTGATTGGAAGAACTTGAAACAAATTTGTCGACCAAAACATCTCTCTCGTCATTACTACAGGTTTTGATTGTCTCAGTTTGGGGCTGATTGTGATCAGACAAACTATTAGTTAATTTAAATAGGTACTTGTAGGGGATAGATATATCACCAGGTATGAACAAATGCAATACCTTCTCTGCTCCACTTTCAGAAGTGCAACCAACTGAAGATGCACTGGCAGCCCCACATTCATTCATCTCCACTGTAGTATCTCTCTGTTCATTTACATGTGCAGGTCTTAGTTCAGATCCAGAAGACACGTCCCTGTTAGTTGATTGTGTTTGGCCTGATTGAATGGAAAACAGCTTTAAAATAAAATATGATTGTATCTACTTGTATAATGAAACTATATATACCAACAAGTATCTATGGCAAGGATAGATTTAAGCTAAAAGAGATGACAAAGGAGTATAAACAATGCTATCGTATTGAGACCAAAACAATAAATTGCTAACCACCTGACAGAACTGTGTTATCTCCTTGCAAATTACCAACAGAGTTTCTAAGACGAGAATGAATTTCCGCTAAAACAGATGACAATGGAGCTGAATCAGGTGGTAGCTGTGAAGTAGATATACTAAATCCAGTTGGTGTGCTACCAGCAGTTCCGATGCCAGAAGGGTTAGATGAGAGAGTTGCAGATATGTTATTTCTAACAGGTAAAACATGTGTAGAACCTGAATCACCAGAGCCAGACTCACTACGGTGTTCAGTCCTTGTCCCTTCCCCATTATTTGGTCTAGAGCCAATGGCTGAAACAATTGGTGCAAGAGAGGCACCTGGCAAGAGTCAAAATTAAAAAATGTTGTATATTTCATCGGGGCAAGCACAATTAGTTTTACTTACCAGCATGTATGTGAATGTTCACGTTCCTAGGAGCACTTCCAACACCAACTGTGCCTAAAGTTGCAGGAGTTGAAGATGAAAGTGGACCGCCAAACAGGGAGCTTGTCTGGAGTGGAAATGGCTGAAAATGTCACAATATCAGTAAAATCAGAAAGATAAAAACAAAGTTCACTATATTGATCATAAAATATGTCAGTCTTCAATGATGAATGTGTACATTGATTGAGCATACACAATTCCCAACCCCTAGTAAACCATGATCTAGATTGTACAACAAAAATGAGGTGTTTGAAATTAAGATCGTTGAAAATTACTACACCAATAATCAGCTAGACATACAAAACAAATTATGTCTCCATAGTAATATAAGATTGGGTAACAATCTGAACTTGTTCTCACCCTGGTGGTTGTATTAGGAGATAAACCTAATTTCTAAACCACACGAGCCATGAAAACATGATGTTTGCACTCAACGAACCGAATCCTAAAAAAATGCAAAAATATTTTGGCAAAAGTATAGGAATGGATGCAGAGGCAAGCAACATGCAAGCAAATTTTTGGAAGCATGCCACTTGCACACTTGAGGACAGGGTTTCTCACCTGAGGAGCAGGTAATGTTAGGATTCAAGGAAGAAGAAAATTTATCATTAGGGAGGTAAAGTCGTGAAAGGGCATACCATATAAAAATAGGACAAATAAGAAAAACAGGAAGGTATCCGATGCATACAATAGATTGTAACAAAAAAAATCTAGCAGACAAAATCAGGGGTGAACTGGAGAGTCTATCTTCTATTCTCAATATTCAAAAAAAAATTATTCTTTTCTTTCGATTATTTCTAACATTTTCCATTTCATTTAGTTTCCTAGAATGAATAGAGATGGCATAGAAATAATGACTGACTCTCCGAAACAAACTCATCCTTACAAAACTGGCTTGTAAGGTGAGAGCTTCCCTAACTTTATAAACACTACACAAGTCATATCTCTAAGCAATGTGAGACTAAACTTACCCCCTTCAAACCAAATGCTAAATTAGGTGACTGGGGGCAGACTGCAATGAAGGCGGAATTTTCAACAACATATGAGTACACAATCATTTGTTTTCCAAATGTACAAATATCAAGTAGGACCCAAAAAAACAGTTGCTATCAATTTAACCCCTCAATCATAGAAAGTGGCATAAAAATCATCCCACTACATGCACACTATGACAACACAAAAAATGGGGCTTGTTAATTTGAAATTGAATTGATTTTATTTCTTAGACTGCAAGAATTACTGAAGCCACTTTCAGTGATTGATGGACTAGATTAGATTAAAATTGTCTTTAGAGAATCAAAGACATGTCACCAATATCTTCGATATTGATAGGCTAAATGACTGTTCACTCTTCATAACTATATATATGTAGATACCACTTCATAAGCAGCTTGTGGTACTCAACAGTGAACTGAACTAACAAACCAAGTCCTCTACATAGTCTACACCTTAACTTGTTTATAATACAATATTGACGTACAGTCCATGTACAGTATATCAGAACTGAAGCACTCCTTTTATAAAAGAAATTTTCTTGACACCGAAAGACTGCAGTTTTACTGCATTATTGATTTTTCAGTTTTCATGTCTTGCCTCTTGTCTGACCTGCTTTCTTAATATATTGCCCAAACTCTCAACTTCTTTTCTCTTAAAAAAGTTCATTTTCGTCTAAAACGTAACTGATTTGATGTAGCATACAGTAGTAGTAAATGAGCCTTACACAGAAAACATTCAGAATCAATTTTTACTCATTCTTAAAACCCCTTCTTTCATGAACAATCTATTGAATGAATTAACTTGACAAAGATCGCAAGTTGAACATAATTTAATGAATATAAACTATTTTTCCTTGCATATTGGCAGAAATATAGCCAATGATGTTCCCAGAGGCATGAAATCCCAAGTATGCAGTAAAATGTACAAACAGTTAAGTGTCCAGTTAAGGTAAAAATAGTTGAAGACTAATGTTGCACAATTAAACTTTCATCAAACAGCCTGACTAGGATAGGGAGAGTTTTAAAATGAAAATGGTTATCAACTGACTTCAATTCAATCAGATTCTTTATCAACAATCTATTTGATGTTGAACCAAGTTAATTATTTATAATTTCCAGTTTCAAGTTTTGAAATATCAACTCTGCACAAATTATTGCATGTCTTTATCCACTAAGTCGAATCATCAGATCATAATAATATGAATATATTAAAACTGACAAACCTGTGCCATTATAGGATTTGGTCCTGATGGAGAAATATAAACTGCTGGTCCAGAATTAACAACAGATTCTGCCTGAAATTTGAATATGATCACGAACAGTATTTTGGCAAAAGAAAGCAAACCAAATCGCAAATGAAAATAATTAAAACATACAGAAGATCGTCCCATTCGCAGTGTTAACATAGTTCGGCCTAGTTCAAGTAGAAGTGCACCCAAATGCTGCATAACAATTCCTATCTGTACTGACTCAGACTGTATTTGACCTCTTACACCTAGATCAGCAGAAGTTCCCTCTCGCTCCATGCGTCCTGCAATATGCTAGTCACAAATTACAAGTAAAACAAAATCAGATCAAATAAAGGATGAAAATACTGAGACTATTTGACATTAACAAATCCATACAAATAAAGTGTACTCTATATGACAACATTTGTGTGCTTAAATAAATCGAAACACTTTTGTTTTAGACTCGGATACTATCAGATTTATGTATCATTGCACCAACACATATATCAGAGATGGATGGCGGGATATAGAAGAATGGAAATTTTAACCAACAAGAGGGTATTCAAAAAATACATCCTTCATATACTAAGTTATCATTAACTGACACAACAGAAATGTGGTGGATATGGGTGGTGGTTCCTCAATTAATCAACTGATATTACGAATACAAGTGCAGGTGTTAACTTAGTCCATTGAAGTCCAACATTACTAAAACTAATAGTAAATTTCCATACATCAACGCAAAGGTTTAGTTAGATACAGAGTTCATTGGAGATAAAGATTAAAGAGCATAGAAAAGTAAGACTCAATTACTTTCAGTTCATATAAACAAAAGTTTTACCATCAAAGCATGCTCAAAGTACCAATGGAGACATTTATTTCCTCCCAACACACACCCAAGCGCACATATATAACACATTCACGATTTATGGTAACAACAAATATCCAATAATTGCAAAAAGTGAAAAAATGTTCATATATATAGGATAAGTTATTTACATATAGCACAGAAACAGCTTGACCACTAAGCAACTGTTCTGCGCGATGCAATACAGCGGTCAATGCTTCAAGTGTTGGCAACCCTTGTGCATTGGAAGGCAATTCTACCCGTTGATCTCCAGAGTTAGTTGAAGATATATTTGGCCCATAACCTGCAAAAGCAAATTTAAATATTTCAGTTCAGTGCCTTCACGATTCTAGATAGAAACGCAACAGTTTCAGCACCATTACCGTTTTGTGAAAGTATCTGTTCCATGCGATTTATGAACTCAGACAAAGTGTTCAGTGAGTCAGGAATTGGCTGAAATGATGCGTAAGAGAGAGGGAGTTAAATGGTATGAAAATGGATTAAATTTAAAGAATTAAAAATTACGAGGATAAGGAGAAGAGAGGCTATATTCCTACTGTGTTGAAAGAAGGAATGGGTATTGCTCCTGCGACGGTCGGAATCTGAACACCATGAGGCATCGGTTGAAATGCCAAACCAGGAAATGTCTGTCCAGACGGTGCCTGATTTCCAGCTAGGCTTTGATTTCCTTCAGTTTCATTCCCCGGTGGAGCCTAACAAGATAGATTCAATCCCAGTTTAGGTGCACACCCACTTAGTTCAAATGACATATATCGTAGTACACATGTAGCAAAACAGCATTTAGCAACACAAGAGGACAACTCTTTTGGCTGCACTGAATCTATTTCAAAATTAAACTAATGATGGCAAACAATGTTGTCGATGGTGGATGGCAGTCCATGGTGGAGAGCCAAAATCCTTCCATACCGGCCGCTTTGCGGCACCATTATAGCGGATTATGGCGGAAAGATCCGCAATATCGGCCGAAATATACCGTTGTGGCGAGCCCAAAAACCGCCATGTATCCGCCATAGCGGCCATGGCGCCACTATTTGATAACATTGATGGCAAAGAAAAGAATTAACCATGTCATTAAAAAAATCATAAGGAAAAATCATGTTTTATTATTTAACCAAAAAGGGGGGAAAAGGTGGGAAAATAGATAAATAATCATTTATAGGATACCCGACATATAGCACTATTAGAACAATAGATGAAAACGTTTCACACTAAGAAACAAAACCAGCTGAAATAGTTACAGCAACAGGTAATATGATTGCTTCATGATCTAAGCAGATGAAATTGAAAGGACATGTCGAAGGAATCTTAACAACAATTTTTTTTTGAATGGCAAATTGTTGGTGGTTCTTTGTTAGTATATATTTGTACCCTTGCCGGGACTTGAACCATAGATCGCCAACTCCTTTTAACCCTTAACTCAACTGTTTCAGGCCAGTTGAGCTGCCCCTCCCACCCGAACCTTAACAACAATTACCATTCACTTTCATGGATAATCTAATTACAGATTAAAGTCATAGATAATTGTAAATTTAATTCAGAGAGGTAAATGATTCAATTCATGAATAAGAAAATCACATGCGCATACTATAACCTAGTAAATCACACAAATGACAGTAATTCATTTTTTTTTCAACCAAAAATAAATACTAACCGGAGAATGTTGTGTGGAATTCGGAACATTAATTGTGGTCTGGCCCTGTCCCCCATTGGCAATAGAATTCAAAACTGCCCCAATAACCTGAAATCATAATACATGTATAAAAAATGTCTCTTCCGGAAAACCAAAGCAAAACATTATCACCAACACCTATAAGAAAAAGCAAAAACAAACCCTAGTAAGGTCTTGAGCAGTGCCTTCAACCTGTTCCCCCACATTAAAAGTCCCGAGTACGACGCTGTGTGAAATTTGCCCAACACGGTTACGAGGAGCTCCTGATCCAGCATCGTTTCCTCGGTTACTGTTTGTAGTAGTTGTCTCAACAGAAGGCGTAGCAGAAGTCTGCGGCGGATTTGGCTGTCTTTCAACTAAATGCAATGTATGCCCATTCTCAACATCTTACAATGGATAAGGATTATGTTGTAAAATAAATAGATTAGCATCACAAACAAACAAGAACCCATTTAATAAAACATGAAATTCTAGAATTTGAAGGATACGATACTCAGAAAGAGAATGTTCATCCTTCAAGACTTTTCCTCTAAATATGAGTCGTTGTTGATTAACCGGTACACCAATTTCATTTGCAATTTTTTGTTTGAACAAGGAAACAGGCATCTGAAATAGTTAAAAAAAGATGAGATTTAGAGGTATAATGTAATTTAGGGATAACATATTAAGACGAAAACGGTAGAGTTTGTTTATAATCACATTTTTTTGAACTTGGAAAGTGTAGATTCGGGAATCTAAAGTTTTGATATTGAGCTGAAGTGTTGAATCAGAAGAGTGTGGCGAAACATTGGTGGAACTGGAACCTTCATTTGAAGATTGACCCTCCATGGTGTTGAAGAGAATTAAACCCTGTGATTATTTGTACGAAAATTTATGAAATAGTTAAACCTAAATGCATCAATAATCAGATAGAAATAGAGAGGGTACCTAGGTAGGTGGGTCGAAGTTGGCGTAAGGAAAGAGAGGAAGAATAGGTAGATGAAGTTGAAAATAAGATCTGCGGGGTTGAGAAGATTCTACAAGTGTTTTTAGGGAATGAATCAAACTTCACCTTCACAAGCAATGATCTTCGAGAATTAGGATGGAGGATGATTCCACCTTGTCAATACAAATTTTAAAACTCTTTGTTTTCTTTTTTTCATTATTAGTTGGGGCATAACATGTCCGGCAAATGTACACCTGCTGCGGTCCAATATACAAAATTTCTACCTACCCTCCCACATATTCTTTCTCACACCACGCCCTTTTTTTTTTCTTCATTTCTTATTAAATATAGAAAAAGGTTGAAGACTTGATTCAAGAATGTTATTATTAATTGATTGCAAAAAAAATCAAGTTCTTATGGAATTTGAAAATGGTAATAGGCTTTTGTCAAAGGTTCATCTAGATCAAGTTTGGTACAATACCATGAAAGAAAGACTATCTAGAGTGTGGAAGTTGCAAGCAGAATTCGAAGTTATGGATAACGATAAGAGTTTTTACATGGTTAAATTTGATATTGCTATTGATAAAGAGTGTCATTTTAGAAGGGTCATGGATGTTATTCGGTCACTATCTTAGAGTATTCCATCGGACATCGAAATTCGTTTCACCAAACATTAAGGTGGATAGAACTATCGTATGTGAAATTCTAGCACACACAATATCAGATATTAAGACTGACGTCTCAACAACACACAATGTCACAACATATGTTATGACGTCTGCTGATAGAAAACAGACTTCCTAACACAGAAAGATTGTACATAAAGATAAAGTAAAGAAACATAAAGAATACACATAATTGTTAACTCAATTCGGTGCAACTCGCCTACTCTGGAGGCTACCAAGCCAGGAAGAAAATCCACTATCAGTGGTATCATTTCAAAGCTAAACAGTCTCAATTTACACCCCCACTTAATCCTTACTCGGTACAACTTCTACTTAGGCACCTCCTATATATGAGAATCTCTCTCACTTCCAATCACCGCAGTGATACAAACAATCTCAGTCCTAAGGAATGTCTCAAGAAACTAAATAGGAAGAACACACTTCCAAATTTCAAATACTTAGTTTGCTTAAAAGCTTCACTAAGAACAATACTCAACTCTTGCTTAAAAGCTTTGAGGAGAATAATAACTTGACGAATAAGTAATAGTCAGTCAACTTAAATGCATCCAAGATACATGAGGACGTACAGATAAACACGCGAAGAAGCCAATGAACTATCAAAGCCTAAACCCTTATTTTTCACAAGGTTTTACAATAAAAATTATGCTTAAAAACCTAGGTCTTGGACGACTCCTTATATAGACTTCTGCGGTTGGGCTTGGACTTTTCAATCAGTTATAATCTTCAGCTCTAAATCACTACAGAATATTCTTCACGAAAATAAAAACAAAAATAAATCTTTCAAATATTTCCTAAAAGTCTCAAAGATCATTTTTATGAAATAAATCAAATATGCAAATATCCTAACAATCCTAGATTGCCTGCGCCTGTTATGAGTACTAGAAACCTCTAGAATCTTATATTTTTCAATCAAATCTTCAAGGATAATTATCCAGTTGCACTGATATGATGTTCTATTGTAACATGTTATAACATCTGATAGAACATCTGTCAAATAACTACATACATACACTGATGTATCAGTTGGTTAACATGTTATGACATTTTGTCTAACATTAGGGTGCAATACATGTTTTTCCAATGAAATGTGTTTTAATAGAATTGTTGTCAACACCTTATTTTATCAAAGTTGTTGCCAACCATAAAATCACAGACCTAACAATCTTCTCATTTGGCGAATTTTGACTAAAACAACCAAAGGTCAAATATCCTGGAGAGAGGAATAAAAACAAAAAACACAAGTTACATGAAACCATATAAACTCTGTAAATACAACACAGTTCAGAAGCTTGTACAACCAGACAGGTTTATTACCCCCTGTCATACATAATCAGTCATCCGCCTCAAGGAAAGAACCTACACAACAGAGCTCATGCAGCGGAACAGTAGAAGCAGCAGCAACAACAACTTCAGCGCAAACAAGCATGACCAGTCATGCTCCTCCTAAATGATTGCATAAGCAATCACAAACAGCTACTCTCACACAAGTAGTAGCACATAGTCCTATCACAATGTTAAATCAACATGTTAAGACATGTGATGTAACATTAGGAAACAATACTTTATTCCACCCTTTTAGCCAAAATATTGACAAAAAGAAATAGGGTAAATGTACACAACTAGTGGAAACACATAGAGCTTTAGAACATAGTGCACCAAGGCAATACTTATAAATGGAAACACACATATTGCATATCAACAATACTCCAGATGGAAGCACACAATAGGGAAACCAATCATGAACATGAAATGGAAACAAACAGATGGAAATATAACCTCTTGATCAGTTTCAGGTGGTCACCCACCTCTTGCCTTTGTCAAAGAGCCTCCTGCATTCCTTGGTGATGTAGCCGACCCCGTTGTCTTGCAGAACACTTTCCTTCCATCCCTCAGAGTAGAGAGGAAAGATGTAGTATTAGTTGCATTCCTCCATTTCTATAATTGTTATAACTCATCAATAACACATGTTCCAATCCCACTATTTTTTATAACAAGTTGTTCCTTTTTGTCCATATGCTCCAGGGTATCATCATTTCCTTCAACAAGATTCCTGGTCGGTCTTTTACAACTGTCAAGGTCCTTGTTCTAGTCATGTTGAATAAGATATCTGAAGGAATTCAGATCTTCACTGTGAAATGTCATGATATCCCTCTTGATTTCATGTCTCTTTAATACTAGTTCAGGGAAACTTTCTTTTGTTTACCTTTATCTCTAGCAGTATATCAAGAGGCACCTTTCGGCTTCTTGCTGACCTAGTTCCTAAATTATTCCTTAAGGAAAAAAATCAATCAGTATCTGATATCTTCATATTTAAACCAATGATGTTTCCTTCAACAGACTGAGTTGTAGTCAGTTCCTTGAATTGTTTTATCTACCTTTTAGTAGACAGACTTATGTTGGATTGAGAATTCACTGATTCCTTCATATGTGCTTTATTAGTTTTCAAACAAGATGTTCCAACATTGTCTCTGTCATCCTCCTTTTTTTCAACAATTGAATCATCAACTATCATATTGATAGATTCCAAATACATTCCAGTTCTGGAGTTAAAAACTCTATAAGTTCTGCTCTTCACAGAGTAACCCATAAAAATCCCTTCATCTCTTATGGGATTCTACTTACCCTTTTGACTTAGGTAAGTCAAGTAGTAGCATTTACTTCCAAAGATATGAAGGTAATTAACTCTAGGCTTCATTCTTGTCCATAGCTCATAAAGAGTGGCTGAAGTATTTCTCCTCAAAGAAACTTTATTATGGACATAACACACATAATTCACAGCTTTTCCAAAAAGTACAAAGGCAAACTCTTAGCAGGAAGCATGATTCTAGATAATTCTAGAACCTTATTGGTTATTTGTTCAACAATTCCTCCTTGTTGAGAGCACTCGTAACAAATATTGTTAGAAACATAAAAATTTAGAGAATTTTACATTCTCAAATTCTTTGTCATGTTTCTAATTTTCACAATATCATCATTCTTCTCTTCTTGAAAACATTGACATAAGTCTTTAAGGATTTCAAAAGCATGTTATTTTTCTCTAAGAAAATTTATCCATGTATATCCAGAAAAATCATCTATAAGCACACAAACATACCTCTTACCACACATACTTTCAACCTCCATTGGTCTCATTAAATCCATATGAAGAAGTTCTAACCTTTTAGAAGTAGTCTGATGCTGCAACATTTTGTGAGACATCATGAATTGAGACCTAAAATCACACTCACCACAAACTATTTCTTCTTCAATATTTAGCTCTAGCATATCTCTAATGGCTCCTTTAGATATAACTACCTTCATTTTTTGAAATGAAGTTGTTCAAGCTTCTTATGCCATAGCTTTAATTCATACTTACTGGTCTTTGATCCCGGGGGAGAATAAGCACTTGATTGGGGTTCCTTTTGATAATGGTTGTCCTTAGACCTTTTACCCTTTATTGACACATAATTTTTCTCATATTTTACTAAGCATTATGATTTTGAGAAAATGACCCATGATCTCCAATCCCATACTTGACTCATGTTAACCTTTTTCAAAATAGAAGAACCATCACACATCAGCTTCCCCACTCCTTTGATTCCATTATTGACCCTTTCACCAAATACTATAGATCCAGTGGGATGAGACCTATTATTCAACACTAACTTCTGAACTCTCATATTATTAACCCATTTATTTTTGCTCACTTTCTCAGCCTTAGAATAAATTGAAGATTTTTTATCTTCATATAGTTTATAGCATAAAAGCTTTATATGAACATGCTCACCATAAAAATGGCATATCAAAGTTGATGACTGACTTATGGACCATGTTTGATCAAGTCTGCTAGAATGTTGTAACATGTGATTGGACATGTTAATTATTTTCTTTCTTTCAGTAGGAAGAGACTTCACCACAGACACTCCACTTTGATCATTATCAACTTGATAGTCATATTCTAATTCTCTAGTCTCTTTTATCATAGTCGTTTCATCCTCCAAATTTTTAAATGAGTCTAATATGTTATTAATCTTGGAATTTAAGGGGGTTACCTCGCTTTGAAGATGAGATACACTACATAGAATATTCTTCTTCTCATTTTCCAAGTCACTAATGACCTTTCTATGATCTTCCTTTGTTTCTCTATTTGCTTCACACTTGTCACAAGTATCTTTGTAGGATGTATCGAGATCTTTATGGAGAACACTATCATCATAGGATTTCATTTCACCTGCCCA